CTCAGCCTCCCAAAGGCACGGGATTACAGGCTGAGCCACCGAGCCCGGCTTGATTTTTTATTTATTGTAGAAATGAGGTCTCCCCAAATTGCCAGGCTGGCCTCGAACCTGTGGCTTCAGGCAATCCTCTCACCTCGGCCTTCCAAAGTGCTGGGATTATAGGCATGAGCCACCACACCCAGTCTACTTCCTTTCTCTAGACAACAGGTGGTTGGTCTTGTAAGCTATGGCTATGGTTCTGGAAAGAAAGAATACAGGTGGTCATAAGCCAAGAATGCTGGACTGAATCTCTCAATCCACCTTTATGAAGCTGTTTTTTTTTTTTTTGAGTTGGAGTCTCACTCCGTCACCCAGACTGGAGTGCAGTGGCCGCTCCCAGCCACCGCAGCCTCGACCCGCGGGGCTCCGGCGATCCTTCCACCTCAGCCTTCCGCGGAGCTGGAACTACAGGCGCGCGCCACCACGCCTGGCTGTTTTTTTTTTGAGCTGGAGTCTCACTCCTGACTTAAAACACCAGCAAAAACAACCATAATGAACATACAAACGATGTATCTCTAGAGCTAAATATTGAACACTGTCCTTTACCTTTTATACAAACATTCTGAAAGAACCTGAACCCTGACACAGTAAGATCCTCAACTCATAATCTACTTACTACTTTAGAGATTAACAGATGTAGGTTGAATATGGAGTTCTGGATTATGGGAACCACATACTTAAAGTCACATGCTACTCTTTTTAAAATGGCAACCAACAACCCCCCGAGCATTCATCTGCAAGATGGTACTATTTCTTTTCACAAGTTCAGAGTTATGGCCTATTCCTAGAATATAACATTCGAGAGAATAATCACATAGTCCCTTCCTTTTCCAGTATAGAACAAACTATCGGCCGGGCTCGGTGACTCAGTCTGTAAGCCCAGCACTTTGGGAGGCTGAGACCAGCCTGGGCAACTTGGCAAGACTTCGTCTCTGCAATAAGTAAAAAAAAAAAAATTAGCCTGGATGTGGTAGCACGCACCTGTAGTTCCAGCTACTTGGAAGACTGAGATGGGAGGCTCACTGGAGCCCAGCGGGTCGACGCTGGGGTGGCCGTGGGTGTGCCACTGCACTCCAGCCTGAGTGGCAGAGACCCCAACTCAAAAAAAGAAAAAGAAAAAAAGAATAAACTATCATGATGCCATGTTTTGGAAAATTCTACTGATGGGGTATGATAGCCCATGTATACTTTTTATTTAACTTTGTTTCACGATTATTCCCTTACATAAAAGAGGTGATACTTGTCATAATTATTGCTAAGTACTGTTTTGACTTGAGAGATGTTGAATCAACCTGAAATATCCCCCACTTCCACTAAGGACCATATTCCAAAAAGGTGTTCGACTCAATTATCTTTGTGCTTAATTTTATGAACAGCTTTTTAAAGATATCAAGAGATAAATATGCTGGGGGCGGCAGCTCACGACAATAATCCCAGCACCTTGGGAGGCTGAGGTGAGAGAACTGCCTGAGCCCATGGGTTCGAGACCAGCCTGGGCAACATGGTGAGACCTCGTCTCTACAATAAAAAAAAAAAAAAATCAGCCGGGCATGGTAGCGCATGCCTGTAGTTCCAGCTACTTGGAAGGCTGAGGCGGAAGGATCGCCGGAGCCCAGCAGGTCCAGGGTGCGGTGGCCGTGAGTGTGCCACTGCACTCCAGCCTGGGTGACAAAGTGAGACTCCAACTCAAAAGAAAAAACGTTTTCTGAAGTGACTAAATCAAGACTTGGTAGACCAAGACCAGAGTTAATGCTGTGATCCTCAATGTCCTGTTTTCTCAAGAGTGATCTAGATGCTAAGATGCATAATCTCCACTTAGTACCAGGAAATGTTTTCTGATCAACTCTGTATCTAAGCAAGAAAACTTAAAGAAACTGACGTCTGAATGCCCACCCTGGACTTGGTGGTCTGCTGAGCCTCTTCCGTCCCCCGAACAATGCTGTGGGACAAATACATCCACATTTCACAGTGGACGAGACCAAGGCTCACAGAGGTTAGTTCACTTGCCCAAGGTTGCATAGCTAGTAAATGGGCACCTGAAATTCAAACTGAGTTTGTTTTTAGAGCTGGGGCCCTGTTCTGTCACTCGGGCTGGAGTATGGCGCAGTGATCACAGCTCACGGCAGCCTCAAACGCCTGGGCTCGAGCAACCTTCCCAACTCGGCCTCCGGAACAGCTGAGACTACGTAGGCACATGCCGCCACGCCTGGTCAATGTTAAACATCTTTTGTAGAGATGGGGTCTCATTATGTTGTCCTGGCTGGTCTTGAACTCCTGGCCTCAAGCATTCCTCCCACATCTGTCCCCCAAAGTGTTGGAATTACAGGCATGAGCCACTGCGCCCAGCCCAAGCTGAGTTTTGACTTCAAAGTCCATAAATGCCTCACTGAACCACTGGTGCTTAAATCCTAGGGAGTCCTGGACTTGTTTGGAAATCTGACAAAACCACATCAACTTTCTTTTGAGAAATGCACACACGATAGTTTGGCCCTGCGTTTCACAGGGCCTAGACCGGAAGCTCTGGATCTTAACCAGCTTCGTGATGCTGGTTAAGATCCCCCGCAGCAGACTGTACTGCATTAAATAGCATACATATACAGAATATGCTCGACATAGTCTACCACCCTGTATCGAAGACAAGTTGTGTTTTCTTTTGAGTCGGAGTCTCACACCATCACCCAGGCTGGAGTGCAGTGGCACACTCACGACCACCGCAGCCTCTACCTGCTGGGTTCAGGCGATTCTTCCATCTCAGCCTTCCAAGTAGCTGGAACTACAGGCACACGCCACCACGCCCGGCTAAATTTTTTGATTTATTGTAGAGATGAGGTCTCGCTGCCCAGGCAGGTCTCAAATCTGCGGGCTCAGACAGCCCTTTCACCTTGGCCTCCCAAAGTGCTGGGATTATAGGCGTGAGCCACCACACCCGGCCCAAGTTCAGTTTTAAGACTTTAAATAAGATATTACGATTTTAACATAGCTTAGAAGGATTACTAAAGAATTTCCATATATCTTCCTTTAAACTTTGACTAATTTTGCCTCTGTCAACGGGATCAGAGTAAGAGTAGCAATTCTTATTTATTTGTAATCCGACAGTATGTGTTAGAATAGTTAAATCGCAAGCAAACTTTACAAATAAAGTCCTGAAATTAGTTAATTTACATTTAAAAATAAATTAGCCCAGTGACATAAAATTAAATCTTAGGCTCCAAATAAATATTTTAGCAATTTCCCCATTATCTGCTAGCAGCTGCAAAATATCAGCTGCTATACAGAAATTATTGGTTCATTATTCATAGGGAGAAAGCATGCAAGCAGCTGTAGTAGCCATCTTTATTTCTGACCTTAACTTCTCCTCTATGACCCTGAATAAATGGTAGGTAGCATCCCTGCCCTAAACTTGAAAAGTAACTAAGTAAATACAGTCTCTTTAAAGAACTGATCTCAGATATCTAAAATTAAACAATTTCCTTTTTTTATTAATAAACAATCTTACCCTAAGTACCTTTCTCAAATGGCCCAAGAAACAATTCTGTGCCAAAAATGAACCCTAGAATAAAGATATTCTGGCTAGGCATGATGGCTCACACCCTTAATCCTAGCACTTTGGGAGACTGAGGCAAGAGGATCAGTTGAGGCCAGGAGTTCAAGACCAGCCTGGGCAACATAGCAAGACCTGATTTCTATCAATCAATCAATAAATTAACCAGATGTGGTGGTACACACCTGAGTACTGTCCTATGTACTCTGGAGGCTGAGGTGAAAGGATGGACTGAGAGCTCAAGAGGCAAGGCTGCAGTTAGCTATGATAGCATCACTGCACTCCAAACCAGGTGACATAGCGAGACTGTTTATAAAAAAACAAACACACGCATAAATTACAAAAAAAAGTATTCCCAGAAGACACTCTTTCAAGACACCCAGCTCATCAATTTTCACCCAGAGTCACAGAACTCATCTTCAGTGACGGCTAGTCATTTCCTAATTCTGTTCTCTCATTTTCCCCTAGGTCACGTTACCCTAGGTGACGTCTAGAGGAAAGCATCTACCTGTAAGGACTGTTCTTGGTAAGCATCTACCTGTCGAGGACTTTTCTTTCCAGAAGACACGGGTATAGCAGCCGGGACAGGGCTCTGGCGCCCAGCCACTCCGCAGCTCCATCAGTGGCCGTGCACCCGTAAAACTCAGCCCCTCTGCATTCCATTTTCCTCGTGTGCACTGGTATTCACGTGGTAAGGGCGCTGTGATGAGTGAATAACTTGAAACTCGCAGGACAGTGCCAGGTGCACAATAAAGGCCCACCAGAGTCTGAGCTCTTATCGTTCCAGCTTTTCCATCAAACCAGATAGCAGCCCCCTAAGCAGCCTAGAGGTGACGTTGGAAAACGAAGTCCGAGGGTAGTCAAGGACTCAGCAAATTCAGGAATATTGCCTGATTAACGTTCTACTAAGAGACAATGAATTAGGTAAATAGAGTAAAGACACTATACCACAGTCCTAGTTATTATTATATTTTACAACTTTGTCTGAAACATGGCACCTGGTTATTATTTAAAATGACCGCACTTGTGTGTGTGTACCCAAACATTTACAAAATACTAAAAATTACGATTAATATTTGTTTTTAGACTAGCCTTTAGGTTTTCACTAGTGCCACATAATTTTATAACTAAATTTTATTACAGTCGAACGCTTCAAAGAGTTGTAGCTTTGAAATAAATAAATGTTGCTATCATTAGAGAAAATCTATTCCGAAAGTACAATATACATGAGTTTATGGCACTTGTTCAAATATTACCAGCATTTACAAATTATTGTGTAAAGTTGATTCTTACATATAGGATCTAAAATGCAAAGAAAAATGGAATTTGTATTCAAAACAAACAGAAGCAACATTAGCTCCTACAGACTAAAAATATAAGATCAGACAGACTTTTTTTCTTAAGCACTCTAGATACAAATATTAGCTGTATGGGTTGAGAACTTTTACATTTCAATAATATAATTCAACAAAGTATACAAGTGGAGCTCTATAAATATATCCCCTCTAATAATATGCAAAGCCATTTTATCACAAATACTACCTTTGAAAAACGCTTTGAAAAATGTAAACTACAAACACATTTTCAAAGAAATTATTCGTAATAACAACTATAAAAGCAATAAATAACAAAGTTATTTGGTTTTAAAAAATGAAGGGCAGTGTAATGTAAATACTGCAAAATTGTTTCTGAAGATGTAGTCTTGTTTCTTAACACAAGGTACTAAGCACTTTCAAAAATAAGAAGACATATCTATATAATTTAAAGTTGAGCTGGAAAAAAATTAAGCAGCAGATGATAAGTATGCATATAGAAATAATGGTATAAAACATGATTTTATACAAAATGTTCCACCTTCAAACCTGTAAGGCTTCATATGGGTATTTTTGGATTGTGAGTGCTACACATCATACGTTTTAGACAAGTAGTAGCAAACTACTCAAAATCCAATATTTCTCAAGTGTTTTGACATTTTTCTAAAGTGGACAGTGGTACAGGATGCAATTTCATGTCCCTTTATCCATACTGTTCTACCCAATATAAATAGAACCTTCTTTAATTGAGTGTTTGATCTCTATATAAATTCTACTTTTTAGAATGTCAGAAATTTTGTAATGTGAACTAATAGCCATGGGGCTTGGCCCAAGTTTAAAATGAAGACACAAAAGAGACATAGGTGCCAAACAGTTAGTCTGACCTATGCAGTTACACAGTCATAATTACTTTTACATGAAAGTAAAGTGCTTTAAATTCAAAAATATCCTTGTAAAAGGTATTACTGATATTACTAATATCTAATACCCAAGTCAAATTTTTAAAATTAGTTCCATTTTTACCCATTTCCTTTGAAAAGTTCCCTTCTGTCACAATGTAAACAAAAAAATGGTCCATAAAATGGTGACATTAGACACATCATAATTTGTGCTGTGTGCCCTTAAATTGAGACCAAATCTTTATTAATCCAGATCTACAGGGATTTTATTTCTTCCACACGCCCAAAGTAACTAATATCAACTCACATTTTCTGTAAACCTTGAAGAATTTTTATTTAACATAATGAGAGGCTTAATAGCTTAAAGATTACGTAGTGCTCTTCTGCTGCTGTTCACCAACTGTTTTTATGACGATAACTCCGAGATCTGGAATGTGACCGAAAATGAGAATGTTTTGCTGTTTGTGCTTTCGCCTCAGAATTGGCATACCCTTTGGGAGATTTACATGGGGATCTTGCTATGGAGTCAGAATGTCTTCCATGTGACCTTGACTTTGTTCCTGAACTAGTCTGCTTTTGAGGTGAACTTGATTGTGATTTTCCTATTGACTTGGATCTTTTTTGAAAGGACTTGGACCGTGACCGTCCTCTAGAACCCGAATTCCTTCTTGGAGTTCTTGACTGCCTTGCTGAGGTAGACCGCCTTGGGAGTGATTTGGAACGCGACTTAGACTGGCTATAAGAAAATCGCCTGTGTCGAGACCTGCAAACATCCGTAAGGTTAGACCATACATTTCATACAAGAGGTCAGAAAACAACACTTTCAGAAACGTGTACACCTTACATAACGTTGTTTATATTTTTACTAGATAAGCAAAAGAAATAATTCTAATTTTACTATGCATTCTTTTGGTTCAAACATAAGTCACAAGTTTGTAATATTTGTTTTGTTTTTTTTTTTTTGAGTTGGAGTCTCACTCCGTCACCCAGACTGGAGTGCAATGGCCGCTCCCAGCCACCGCATCCTCGACCTGCTGGGCTCCGGTGATCCTTCCGCCTCATTCTTCCGAGTAGCTGGAATTATAGGTGTGCACAACCACGCCCGGCTGATTTTTTGATTTATTGTAGAGATGAGGTCTCGTCAAGTTGCCCAGGTGGATCTCGAACCCGCAGGCTCAGGCAATCCACTCACCTTGGCCTCCCAAAGTGCTGGGATTACAGGCTGAGCCACCGAGCCCGGCCTGTAATATTTGTTATTCTAGAATATATGACCAAAAGATTTTTACCTTGCTAGGTATGTCTTATATGGGTCAGTTCTGAGGCATGCCCCACACATTTAGTCTGAGTTACACAACTCTCAGACAAGTAGTCTCAAACCATTCAAAATCCAGTATTTCCCAAATGTTTTGACATTTCTAAAGCAGACAGTGGTACAGGATGCAATTTCATGTCAATTTATCTATACTGTTCTACCCAATATAAATAGAAACTTCTTTAAGCTCAGGAGAGAATGCATCTTTTGAATGTTTGATCTCTATATAAATTCTACTTTTCAGAATGTCAGAATTTTGTAATGTGAACTAATATCCACAGGACTTAGCACAAGTTTAAAAAGAAGACACATAAGTGACATAGGTGACAAATAGTTTAAGTCTGTCGTATGCAGTTATATAGTCATAATTACTTTTACATGAAAGTAAAGTTTTTTAAATTAAAAAATATTTTTGTAGCTGGGCTTGGTGGCTCAGTCTGTAATCTTGTGCCTTTGGGAGGCTGAGGTGAGTGGATTGCCTGAGGCTGCGG